GGTCCTGTATGGATCATAATGCTTGGGGAATGATTGACTTAAAATAATAACCAGTCCGATGCTAGAGCCAGCTCAGACCAGTTCTCAAAAACTTACTGCTAAGTTTTCAGGGTGAGCATTTACACCTTGGAAACAGGCAAATAAAGGACTTAATTTACCATTTTGTTAAATGTCTAGACATAAGAAAGTGATGGAGAAAATATTATTAACGCATCAAACCTGAAACTGTGTTGTAGGGACATTTTTTCTGGAGAACCAGCTGTTAACTTTTTGCCAGTACACTGCTGATAATAACCTACCTCTTTACAAAGCATTTTAAAGTTTGAAAAGTTCTTTACATTTGCTATCTCAGTGGATTTTCACTCCACCCACTTGCTGGGCCATGGAGCTGCCCTAATAATAGAGGAAGCTCATTGGCATAGTGGAGAGAGAGCTGGACCTGGAATCAGGAAGACCTGAGTTCAAATCTTGCCTTAGCCATTGACTATCTGTGTGACCCTGGGCAAGCCTCTATGCCACCATCCACAATTAGGGCCTCCAATTGGTCTGTAACTCTTTGCATATTGCCATCCCACCCCCTGTGATAAAAGTTATGCACCTGGCCGGTGTGAGGGCATAGCTTGTGACGGGGGAACAGAGTAGCTGTAGGTCATGGATTTGTATAAGGAGGGAGCATGTGATGACCCTGAGCTTGTCAGCACAATATACCAACCGTTAAATTCGCTAGCTGCAGACACAGGCCCTCTATTCGTGGCTTCTTGTTCACTTGGATAACTATAGGCCAAAAGATGCCAGATTTCAAGCGAGCAGGGAGGGCTCTTAGAACATGGAATGTCAGAGCTGGGAGGGGCCTTGGAACAGAGGATGTCAGAGCAAGGAAGGCCCTTAGAACACAGAATGTCAGAGCTGGGAGCGGCCTTGGAACAGAGGATGTCAGAGCAAGGAAGGCCCTTAGAACACAGAATGTCAGAGCTGGGAGCGGCCTTGGAACACAGGATGTCAGAGCAAGGAAGGCCCTTAGAACACAGAATGTCAGAGCTGGGAGGGGCCTTGGAACAGAGGATGTCAGAGCAAGGAAGGCCCTTAGAACACAGAATGTCAGAGCTGGGAGCGGCCTTGGAACACAGGATGTCAGAGCAAGGAAGGCCCTTAGAACACAGAATGTCAGAGCTGGGAGGGGCCTTGGAACAGAGGATGTCAGAGCTGGGAAGGCCCTTAGACTTTAGAACACAGAATGTCAGAGCTGGGAGGGGCCTTAGAACAGAGGATGTCAGAACCAGAAGGGACTTTAGAACACACAATGTCAGAGCAGGGAAGGCCTTTAGAACACAGAATGTCAGAGTTGGGAGGAACCTTAGAACAGAGAATGTCAGAACTGGAAAGGACCTTAGAACACAGTGTCAGAGATGGGAGGGGCCTTAGAACAGAGAATGTCAGAACTGGAAAGGACCTTAGAACGCAGAATGTCAGAGCTGGGAGAGGCCTTGGAACAGAGAATGTTGAAACTGAGAGGGGCCTTGTCTAGTCCAACCTTTCTATTTTCTCCATGAGGGAACTGAGGCTGTAAGAAGTTGAGAACCTTGCCCAAGATCCTCCAGCTACAAAGTGGCAGCATCTGGACTGCCCTCCTATGCTTTCGTCACCACATCCTGACCTGCCTCCTGCGCTAAGCCCTCCAATTCTTCCAAGACCCAGCTCTAACAGGGATCTTGGCTTGAACCCCCTCCCTCACCTCTGCTGGGCTGACAGAAGTACAGCCGTCTTCAGCACTCCCCACACCTCTGAGTCATCTCTCTTGGCCTCCTGGGGCCAGGCCTGCTGGACATCTGATAATGACCGTCCTGACTCACTGGATGCCAAAGAAAGAGGTGCCTCAGGTATGGACAAAGGGATGTATTCAGAAGCCCTGGGGAGGTAAGGCTTCTGAGAGTCTGGTGACTGGGTCGATTTCAGCAGGGTGGGTGATGTCACTTGCCTCTGGCCCCAGGTGGCTTTCTCTTCAGATGACTCATGAGTGTCTCTCTCTATCCTGAGACTCCCCACCCTCTGCTCCCTCCAAAGATGGACACATAGTCAGGCAAAGAAGATTGTACTTTATACGGAAACACACACACACACATACATACATACACACATTTCCTTCTCAGGACACAGATGCCTTGTTGCACTTGGAGACTGAGGTCACATCCATCACAATGGTTGTTGGTCCAGAGACACACAGAGATTGCTTCCATGTGCTCAGAGGGTTGTGATCCAGTCCAACCCTTTTCTTTTCCACCCGTGGAGGATTTGAGGCCTACAAGGTCACAGAGCTGACAAGTAGCAGGCATGGTCATTAGTCCCAACTCTGCTGACGCCAAATCCACATCACAAAAATCTCCCTTCTGATTTCCTTTCCCCATTCATTCTCTTCTCTCAGACTTGAATAACTGGCATTTTGGCTCCATATCTCCCCAGAAATACAGAGCTTACCTCATTCAACTTCTGGGACAAGGGAGGCCACTTTTTTTCATTAGCCAAAATCAGATTCCAGGATCAGAGAAAGAACTCTAAGCCTTATGGATGTTGGGTCAATGAGTCATCTTCATCTTTGAAGATGAGTGCCATGATGTTCACTTTCCTTGCTCCAAAAAGCTTAAAATAGTCCTGGAACTGATGATGAGGGATTACAATTAGGGTTAGGGTCTCATGACCTAAAAAATCCAGTTCATGTCCAAGATCTCTGGATGCTTAAAAACTGAGTTGTTCATGGAAGGAAATTTGACATTTGGTGCTCATGAGCTCCCTTAAATACCATTACTTTAGGAATTTGGGGAGGAAAGCTGTTTCTGAAAAAGCCATACCAGTTTCCAACAGTCTTTTCCCCTTTCTCCAGAGCCATAACTAGGACTTTTTGCTTTTGGAATAGGAAGATGATTGCTTAATTAGGACAAAGCCACTGGGTAGGAGGCAGGGAAGAAATATGTTCCTGGACAGTGTTTTCAGCACCTTCTTAAATTTTGACCCTTTGAGATGAAGCTCCAGGCACAGTATTTCACACCATAGAGTCATAAATTTAGAGGTGGAAGAGATCTCAGAGGTCATTTAGTCCATCCCACTCATTTTACAAAGGAGGAAACTGAGACCCAGAGAAGGTAAGAGATTTTCCCAGGGTCACACAGTCAACTATCCTAGTTATGGCTCTGCCTTTCTCATTTATGCCACAGATATGAAATTATGCAAATAAGTACCAATCCTCCACTGCAAGAACATTATCTGACTCCCTAAAAGAGCTAACTAAATTTTTGTTCAAGTGGTGATGCATATGGAAAGAATAGGTTATTGGCTTTATAACTAAAGGACTTAGAGATCATCTAGTCTAATCCTTTCTTACAAAGGAGGAAATTGAAGCCCCGGGAAGTGAAAAGAGTTAGTTGCCCACGGTCTGAAGGGTAGCAGATGGAAAAACTGGGACTTGAATCTGGGACCTGTCACTCCAAATCCACCAATGTTGCCACAACACTATAGTTAGGTTCCATGAGGAACCTAACTTTTTATCTTTAACCTAGCTTTTATCTTTCCCTTTGTGATATTGGGTTCAGGGATCCAGCAGACCCTGTTATTCAGGATACCATGCAGAAATTTTGTACTAATGGGAAACAAGGATGGGGCATAGACAGATGTCGGTAGTATGGGACAGGGTAGCTTCCAATTGCACCCTGAGTATCATGAAATGAAACAATGCCCTAGTGGGTTATGGTCTTACAAGCCCTTCTAGCATGCACGGCTTCAGGATTTGAAGGGTTTGAAGTCAAAAAGTTAAGTCAATGGGTACATGATGGATTTCTCCATTAAAGTGGTAGGATCAATATACCATATCTATTATCCAGATATTTCCAGTTGTTTAGGGGAATGAAATGATCTTCTAGACCCATTCTAGTGGATGGCTAAAGACCAAAGAGTGGTCCCTGGCTTTAGGGAAGCACAGTGAACAAATTCATGACTGGGCCTCAATTTACACTTCTATTAGGAAGGATTAGCATTCTTTAACCTAAGCAAGACCTAGTTGACAGGTATAAATGCTTTTAAAAATGCTCCCTGAAGTTGGATATTTGCTATAATAGTGTGAAAAGCAAATGTATTATCATTTATTCACATAGGTATTAATGGCTTTAATAAAGACAGACTTTTTTAGTTAAAACAAATGATTAGTCTTAGCAATAACTGTGTAAACAGAGTCCTAATTGATGAATTTATACTCTGCCTCAGTCATTAGTTGGCACTGGCTTTTGAGTTTTTTGTTTAAAAATTTTTTTTTGGCCTGGATATCTACATGCAAGAAAATGAAGTCTTTTAAGGAATTACTGAGCACCTCTTGTGGGCCTAGCATTGTGCTAAATTATCTGACGAGTGCAGTCAAATCAGTGAAAAATTCTGTACAATTGCTTATTTGACCATTATGTAGGTGGATAGGTGTGTTTTTCCTTTGCATCCAATCATTTTGACACTGTTTGGAAACAGACTGAGTTTTTTAAAGCCCTTGGCCTGACTTTCCATATGAGTCATGAGTGAGACTGAAGTGAGCGAAAGAAGCTCTGAGCTAGAGCCAATAACCTTCTTCCTCCATCTTTGAAGGGAGAAGCAGAGGGGTGCCCACTGCCATAAAGCCCCTTCTGAGAAGTCGTGAAGTGTGTTACAGAAATTAGTGCATATTAGTCCTCACAACATCCCTGTGAGGTAGGTATGGGACAAGGGGCCCTGTCCCTGTTCCACAGATGAAGATGCTGAGGCACAGACAGGTGAGGTCACTAGGCAGAGGTCACAAAGCAATGACAACGGCAGAAGAAACCTTATTGGTTCCTTTCTGTTGGCCTTACATCTTGGTTAAGACTTATGTGAGCAGACATGTTATGTTCCATGTAATGAAGTCATTAAAAAAGAAAAACCTAATTCATTATTTGAATACTGAACAAGATTTGCCCACCCCTCAATCCCATCTCCCCCTAAATTAAAGACACCATTGGCACTCTTGAGAAGAATTAAGCTTATTTTCCCCATGGCTCTTGTCTCAAGCAAACTCTTGTGAATTGGGAACTATTTCAATAAAGTGTATATATCCTGATACACTAATTCCATAGGTTGGTCACCCAGCCAGTGGAATATCTTAATCTTAGTATCACACATTCTTCATCCACTTAGTTTTTCCTATGTGGATGGCTGAGCCAATTTCTTCTTAATGGCTGTGGATCTCATTGAAATAGCTTGGTGGTGTCCTTGGTCCTGAAGGAACCATTACAGTGCCATTCATTACCAAAAGTGTCTGGAGAACATTCTCCTCCTCCATTTGGACAATGTACAAGACACATTCCATGGCATGGGTAAAGACCTTTGGCGAACATGTATTTCCTCATTTTATGCCTCAGCAGATGGACAGCTTGATTATGATGCATCCATGAAGTATAAGAAGAACCAACATGTGAGTGTTGAGTGGATCCCTTTTGGAAGAATATGGATAAGAATCACACAGAAGGAGACCAGGTCAATGGTTCGAGATCTACACTGGTGGAGAGACTGGCCACATTGATAAGCCCAATATGGAAATCTGCTTCATTCAGAAGAAAGAATCCCGTAGTTTTTCCAGGCAATATATATGCAGTAATTCCTCAAGAGTCACCTCACCTCACCCCTAAGCGTGGCCATAGTTATTTAACAACTGTACCCTCTCCTGGTGCAAGGACTTTAGGCAGGGTAGCCACTTCTACCCTTCATGAATTTGTTAAGCACTTCCCTAAAGCTAGGGACCACTATTTTAGACCTGCCTCACATCATGGGGTCATAAATCTAGAAGTGGAAGGGACTCAAAGGTTATCTAGTCCATTCCACTCATTTTCACAATGGAGAAAACTGAGACCCAGGAAAGGTAAGTGATTTGCCCAAGGTCACACAGACAGTCAACACTCCAAGAAAGATCCGAAGATCATAGAAGCATAGGCAGTTCACCCAACGAATATTAGAGCAGGAAGAAGCTTTAGAGATGATCTAATCTAGTCTCTCAGTTTATACACAAGTAAACTGAGGCCCAGGCCCTTGACTTTTCCAGGGTTCCATAGGCAGTAAAACAACAGAGCTAGCATTCCAAATGTCTCTAAATCCTGGGCTTTACCCACTCTGCCCACTGCAGACATGATGATCTAGGCTGGAGTCTGGAAGGCCAGGGAAGCCCCCCTCATCCACTAGAAACCAAAGGGAGAAGAAAAACAGGAGGTGAAGCTGTCACTCTGACATCACACCCAGGAGGTGGCATTCTTGGCTGCCCATTGCTTTCCCAACAGGTTGTCCCGGGTAGAAAGGCAGTTGCTTGCTGGGCCATCACCTTCCTTTTTCCATGGTTACTCTTCCTTTCATTCAAATTGGTGTCTGAAATACTAAGTTAACCCACCAGCTAGTCTTGGAAGGACATTTGAGGGGGTGGGGGAACATGGGTCTTTCCCGTCCGTGGTGGCTTGGTCTGGGGCTCAGGGGTAGCTCACAAATTATTTAACTTCAAAGTTCCCTCTGAAATTAAGCCTGAGAACCTTAGAACTTTAGAGGTCAGAGTGACTTTCAAGGGGTCTTAGTTAGTCCCCTGCTTTCAAGTGGAGGGATGTCTAAACAGTCCAGGACAGGATGCTGGATGGTTATGATCTTTTCTGGAGCCTTCTAGGTATGGATCCTCCAGTCCCCACCAGGAGCTCATTTCAGTAGTCTCCTAAAGTTGGTCAGTCTACAAATTGGCTGTGTTTGGTCTGGGAAGTGTCCCTTGGCTAACAAGGTGACAATGCCATGTTGTCACTTAGCTCAAAGTTCCTCTGTCCACCCAATTGGGTGGGTTCTTCATAAGCTCCTTCCTTCCCCCTTTGATTTTTCTCCTTGGCCCATGAGACTGGTGGGAATAAAGCCATTCGTTACACATTGGTAACCTCAAGTCCACTGTAGTTTTCTAGACGACACTGATCTGGTCTATCTTGAGGGTCATCATCGAAGCAGTCTTCATTTCTGAGGGAGCCATAGTCATCATGGAAGTCAAGGTCTTTGCTGCTGAACCCCCTTCCAATCTTCCCTAGTGGCAACTGGAAAAAAAAAATAGAATCACAGAATGTCAGATTTGGAAGGGCTCATCAAATGTAGACTGTCAAGGAGGGGGGGAGAAAGGACTTCAGAACAGAGATTGTCAGAGCTGAAGAAGGCCTTAAAACACACAGGGTCAGAATAAGGAATGACCTTAGAATATAAAATGTCAGAGCTGGGAGGGACCTTAGAACAGAGAATGTCAGAGTTGGGAGGGCCCTTAGGACACATAATGTCAGAGCTGGGAGGGGTCCTAGAACCTGGAATATCAGAGCTGGGAGGGACCTTAGACACAAGATGTCAGAGCTGAGAGGGGCCTTTGAACAGAGAATGTCAGAGTTGGGAGGGCCCTTAGAACAGAGAATATCAGAGCTGGGAGGTGTCCTAGAACCAAGGAGGCAGGAAGGGGAGAGGGCCAAGAAAGGGGGACACCTCTGAACAGAGAATGTGAACATAGAATATGAGATGAGCAAGGGGACTTCAAACATTGTGTCACAGTTGGCAGGGCTCTTCTGAGTCCCAGAGAAATGAGGCGCCCTGTCACTGAACTCCTCAGGGACCGGCCCGTGTCTCCTGACTTTGGGCCCTTCCTATCGCCTGCTGAAGACTGGCAGAGAGGGTCTGGGAAACGGAGTCTGAGATGCCCAGAGTCTTACCCGGCCAGTCTTGTACTTGACGCCACCGCTAGTCTCCTCCTTTCCCTGCCGAGTGACGCTGGAAGCCCTTCCTGGGGGGGTCCCAAACCTCTCAGCCTCTCGGATGCCTGTAGCACTGTGGGGAGGGAAGGCAGAGAGATAACCATGGGAATGAGTGATACCATCAATGGTGGAAAGTCCGGTACCTGACACATAGGAGGCACTGAATTAATACTTCTGGATGGATTTGTAGGCAGGAAAGCTTTCTCATCTCTATTGGACAGATGCAGAAACTGAAGCCCAGAGATATGGAGTCTCTCCTTGCCCGTGGCACACAGCCAAGAAGGAGCAGGACTGAAATTAGAAGCCAGCTCTCTGGACCCCACCATTCTCTCTACTATACGTACTTGAACCACGCCGACACATCGTACCACCATCAGTCACTTCTCGGGCTACAGGATCATTGAGAGATGGAAGGGTCCTCAGACCACACCTACCCCCCACCCCTGCCTCTACTCCCACATGCCGGAGTTAGGAAACAGGAGATTGGAGAAGGAACTTGCTTAAGACCACGGAGCTCCAAGGTGGACAATCCAGATGTGACACAGAAGGGGAGTATTTAAGTAAGAACCTACAATCCTTTGTCTCAGATTACTTTATCGGATAAACCCCAGTCACCTGTCCAGTCCTAAGAATGGGACCCGCAAACAGTGATTGCCAAGGAGAAATTCCCAAAAGATTCAGGGCTGGAGGGATCTTGGAAATCATTTAGTCCAAAGTCCATGTTTTAAATAACCTCTGAGAAGGAGGCAAGTGATGTGATGTGCCTCAACAAAGTCAGTCAACAAACGTTATTAAATGCTTTTAATGTGCCCAGGACAGTGCATGGCACTAGATACAAAGGAAGGTGAAACCAGTAAGACAGTACAAAGGGGATGCTCTGTGTTTACTGGAGGAGATGAGAGGTCCAAAAAATGTCTAAACAGGACAGCGCCTCAGAGATCCTACTGCAATGCTCTCATTTTGTAGGCCCAGAGAGGGATGTGTCTGGTCCAACATGAGATGACTCGCTAGGTCCCACACAGTTCAGATTAGATCCTAGTCCTCCTAAGTACCTGGTTAGATGGACAGGAGCTCTGGGCAGTCCTCTTTGGGAAGTCTGGTAAGACCCAGAAGTCCTTGACATAGATAGAGAGATGGATAAATAGATGATTGGATAAAATGGATAGATGGATGGATAGATGGATAGATGGATGGATGGAGAGATGAATAGATGGATAAATAGATGGATGGTTGGATGGATGGATAGCTAGATGGATAAATCAATAGAAAGATAACTAGATAGATAGATGGATAAGTAGATGGATGGATGGATGGATGGATAAATAAATGGGTAGATGGATAGATAGATGATGGATAGATGGAGAGATGAGAGATGGATAGATAGATAAATGGATAGATGGATGGTTGGATGGATGGATAGATAAATCGATAGATAACTAGATAGATGATAGATAGATAGATAGACAGATGGATAGATGGAGAGAGAGATAGATGGATAGAAAGATGGATGGATGGATGGATAGAGAGCTCCTTCAAATTCAGGGACTGAAAACGGGACAAGGGCATGGCCAGGACAGTCTGTACATTTTGAGCTAAAAGACAACTGAAAGCTCATCTTATGGGTCTGACCAAGTTGCTCTTCTGCTCTAGAAGCTTCTGAGGCTCCCTATTGCCTCTAGGATAAAATAAAAACTCTTCTGTTTGGCTTTGAAAACCCGTCACAATCTGGCTCCAGCCTGCCTTTCAAGGCTGCTCTAAAGCTTAGAAACAAGATCGAACAAAGTTCAGGTAAGACTGAAATGACTGAACGACAGCAACAAAAATGTACACACACATATTTAGCATACTTGGCCAATATCAAGAAATTGGGGGATGGGGGGGTAGAAGGAGACAAAAAAGAGATTTATTTTTATTTACACACTTTGTTGTTGTTGTCCATTTGTGTCCTACTCTTTGTGATGCCATTTGGGGTTTTCTTGGCAAAGATACTGTAGTGGTTTGCTATTTCCCTCTTCAACTCATTTTATAGATGAGGAAACTGAGGCAAACAGGGTGAAGTGACTTGCCCAGGGTTACCCAGCTAGGAAATGTCTGAGGTTAGATTTGAACTCAGGAAGATGAGTCGGACTCTAGGCCTGGCACTCTAACCACTGTGCCACCTAGCAGCCCATATTTATACACTGTCAAGAATAATTTAGATATGTCATTCTCCACCCCACCCTGCCCCAATACCAAATGTTTGTTGAATTGATTGAATCCATTTTAAATGAATTTTTTCCAATTTAATTTTTAAAATTTAAATGAATCCCATTTTAAGATAAATAAACTGAGGCCTAGAGAGGTTGAGTGACTTGCATAATTTGTATTTACCTATCCTTATACTTGCTGTATGCCTTTAATGGAATGTAAGCAACCTAAAGGCAGGGATTTTTTAAAAAAATATTTGTGCCACCTTAGTGCCTAACACAGTGCCTGGCACGTAGTGGGTACATAACAGATCCTTGTGGAATTGAACTGAATCTCATCCAACGTCCCTCATTTTACTGAGGTCTAGAGAAGTTTAACTGGCACGTAACAGATGCTTATGGAACCAAATCTAGTCTAATTGCCCTCATTTTCCAGATGAGTAAACTGAGGCCCAGAGAAAGTTAATTGTCTTGAATAAAGACACACAGGTAGTTCATAGGTGATGAGTAGAAGAGCTGGGATTTGGATTCAGATCCTCTGACTCTTCTGTATAATTTTAGGGGAGGGGTAAGGGGTGCCAAGATTAATTCCTCTCCTAAATGTTTGCCATGATGCTTGAAATTCTGCTCATCCTGGTAAGCAGAGAACCAACTAGGCAGTGCAACGGATAGAGCACTGGGAGTCAGGAAGACCTGAGTTCAAATCTAACCTCAGGCACTTACTAGATGTGTGATCCTGGGCAAGTCACTTTAACCTTTGTCTGCCTCAGTTTCCTCATCTGTAAAACAGGGATAATGACAGCCCCTACCTCTCAGGGTTGTTGAGAGGATTAAATGAGATGATATTCGTAAAGCACTTTGCAAACCTTAGAGCACTATATAAATGCCCTATAATGATCATTATTCTTAGACAAAGGGGAGCTTTGCCCACAGACCTCTTGACCTCTACATATTTTGAGGCGCTTTCTTCTATCTCACACTGCTTCCCTACCAATTGTCTCTCCAGTTCGCAGATGCTGATATCTCCTAATCCCCTCCTGGAAGAATTTCCCGGGGTCCTCTGGTAAAGGATTGCCCCAGTGGGCTCTGGCAGATGCCAGACACCTGCCATCAGGTGCCTAATCCAGCCCCAGATGTGGGCTAAGTGGGGAACCAATCCTTCCAGCATCTTCCAAAGCTGCTTAGCCCCTCCTGGATGCCACTACTCAATTTGTGGGGTAGAGTTATTGCATGGAGAGTTCAAATAGGGGCACCCAGGTGACAACACCATCCAATTAATTGCCTTGTAATTGCTTTTCAGAGCTAATTCATCAAGCCCAGTAATAGGTTGCCAGCTCCTGGGTAAGACAGTATATGTGCTATTTGTCTGTGCAATGGCGTGGGTCAGGCAATTAAGGTGAGAGATTTTTGTGGAGGCGGAATCTGCGGTTCCTGACGAATGGCTGGTGATGAGAGGTGGGGGAGGGGAAGAGACCAACAGCCCCCATAGCTGGCACACAGTAGGCACTTAATAAATGCTGGTTAACTGGCTATTTTAAGCTTCCTTGACTTTAGTTAGGGCTTTTGGCTTTGGAAAAGTTGAGGAGTGATTAGAGAGAAGGGAACAAGGAAAGAGAAAGGAGTATACGTTTATTAAGCACCTACTATGCATTGCTCTAAGGCAGGAGTGGGAACCTTCGGCCCTCTAGGTCCCCAAGTACTGCCCTTTGACTGAATCCAAACTTCACAGAACTCCCCTTAATAAAAGGATTTGTTCTGTAAAACTTGGACTCTAGTCCCAAGGATTTAGAAGCCACATGTGGCTTCGAGGCCACAAGTTCCCCACCCCTGCTCTAAGGCTTTACAAATATTATCTCATTGGATCCTCACAACAACCCTGGGAGGTAGGTGCTATTATTATCTCCATTTACAGAGGGGGAAACTGAGGCAGTCAGAGGTTAACTGATTCATGCAGGGTTACAGGCTAATAAGTATCTGAGGTCAGATTTGAACTAGGGTCTTCCTGACTCCAGGCCCAGAAAGGGGGCATAACTCTCTTTCTCAAAAAGGGAGGTATAACCAACCAAGAAAGACCCTTCTTTCTCTCTAAAAGGTAATTATTGTAATTTAATAAGGCTTGCTAATTTTAAAAGAGAGATGTCAAAATACAGCCCTCTGGCCACAACAATTAAGAAAGTTCACAAGATTCCACAGTATGGCCAAAATTAAATTAACATGTAATTGGGAAATATTTATCAAAATAAGTAAAAATGTAATAAAACATAGATGATGTTAATATGTGATTTTCTAAGTCTATTATGTGGCCCACAGGGATCCTTATGGATGACTGAGTGGTCCCATCCACCAGTTTCATTGACACCATTGCTTTAAATGTTCCAACCCATTTTCCCCAGCTAGACTGGAGGTTTTGCTTAGAGTAAATTGAGAAGTTTTCTCCATTTCTAGACCACAGAGAATGAAAGTGGAAAAAGCAGCATGGAGCTGACTTATTCACAGCACTGGGGTCTTATTGTCTTATTGTATAGGTCAAGTCTATTTTGCTTCATAATGGATGGGTCCCCCCTCCCCCTTTATTGAGAATACTAACAAGAAAAATGGAAAATTTTTGACAGTAGTGGAAAATTCTGTTGCTGCAATAATGTTCAAGAAGAAATAATTTGTTTCTAAGAGACATTCATTAATCTTGGTATGGAAGAAGGAAGACGCAAAAGCAGAGGAGGCTGTGAGTGGGAGAAGAAGGTTGTGAGAAGAAGAAGGAGACTGTAAAGAGGAAAAGGAGGCTATGAGGGAGAAAAGGACAACCATATTCTACTGGTCACACATCTGATAAACCATTTTATACCTATTGCGAGCAGCAAAGGAGGTACATAGGCTGTTATGAAACAGA